CGTCCTAAGGTTGCGGATGGAGGAGACGCCCTCCAGATATGGAGGGAAGCTGCCAGTATATTGAATAAGCTATCGCGGACATCCGACAAATTGTAGTCCTCCAGCTTGAGGGTTGGGCGTAGGTCTAATAACTCCTCAACGTAAAAAAAATAAGCTTGTTACGAAAATGTTCAAGAAGTCTCAGAAATGTTAGTCACTTTTGCCTTAATTTAGTGTTTAATAATTCAGTGAAGAAAACCATTTTACCGTCTCCAAACACAAAGCTATTTCGAGTTTTCAAACAACAGAAATTTTATATCAGCATGGGATTGTGTTAGAAGATTGATTTCACTAAAAATTCAGTATGTAATGAGTTAAGTCTCGTGATCTCGAATTGATTGCAGGAGTTCTAGTGTTCTTTAAGGTATCATGGATTCTTTCACAAGCACTGGAGTTTTCTATTCGATGGGTTACCAAGGGTAAAGGTGACTGAAGCATGAAACTATCCATCATTTCCAGCGAGTGCCGAAATACGTTACTGCTGTAAACTCCCTTTCTGGCACTCTGAACATAAAGGCGGAGAACATTGTAAAGCAGGAATGATATCCAGTAGGACAGGATTTATCTTCTCCTGATCTGTAAAATGTTGTCGCATTATACATAAGATAATTACTACTCAGTGGTTTTAGTCCGTAAGCGAACTATACCGACCGAGCGACCGCCACTTGTCGGCGAAGTTAGTGCCAACTTTAGTGGATAGAGGTTGTCACGTGGTCAGCACAATGGATCCCCACCGCCGTTAATTTCGGTTTTATAGACCGGACCCGCTATTTCCATGAAATATGTCCTCAATTATTCTCAAGAAGCTGAGTGAACCCCGTTCCAAACCCACTACTTCTCAGAAAATCTGGTAGCGCCGGGAATCGAACCCGGACCTCTGGATCTGTAGCCAGGAACTCTGAACACTAGACACACTAGGTGGTGCACATAATATAATAAGGACCTATATTATGTTAGGAAGGATAGGAAGCGATCGTGGCCTATTTTAGGATATTATCATTATGAGCCCCGAAAGAACTGTCCGAAAAATGCTCTCCGGACCCAGAATAGAACCTAACACCACCAGAACGCAAAGTAGGGATGTTAATGGCCGCAATTTAAAATATATTTTTAAATAAACTAAGAATATTTGAGAAACAATAACGAACAGGTGGAGAAATGAATTTTTGTTCACCTTGTGAAATCTGAGTTCCGGTTAGAAAAGAATGCAAACAAGAACTAGCGCCCCAGGTTCTGCAGGCCTGCCGATGTTGCTTCTTGCGTGAGCACTAGCCGTAAAACTGTGTAATTATTCTGGCTTAAAGGCATTCAGATATAACGAAATTGAAATTAACGTTCTAACGGACGAAGTTTATATACAGTATAATCATGTGTACATCCAAGACAACATACGGAATTATTACGAATATCTTTAAGATACTGTCTTCGCTCGCTCGGAAGCCGGGATCGTGGATTCGAATCCCACTCAGGGCATGGATGTTTAGTTTGTGTGTGTGCGTTTTTCTGTGTTTGTGTNTACAAAACAGGTTTCCATGGAGGTAGATTCCTAGGGATAAACTGAGGTACAAAATATGTACTTTTGCACGTAAACGAACGTTCAACAAACGTTTCCGTGTAAATGAACATTCAACAGACATTTTCCTACGATACGGGACACTATATAAGCGGCCGTGCATATAAGAACGCATTGAGAACACGAACAGCAAGTAACACGTCAATCAGTTGGAGCTTCAAACGTAAACAGTTTGCCTCTAGGCCATATGTTGAGAATATTTATGACAGAACTCAAAGATGATGCGTCAGAGGAGGAAAAACAGTGGCCATTACAAAAATGTTCTTAAATCTCATGTAACAAATGACCACTAGAATTCATAGGCGGAAACTACTAAGGATAAGGAACGATCTGACAGAGGCCTTGTATATATTTTGTATACTTTCATGTAATAACATGTATAATGCAAATATATTGTAATTCTACATTGTAAAATTCAGATCCGTCCTCTAGTCAGAGAGGGCGCCCCGCATCAACAAACCCACAACTGTCTGAAAGAAACAAAAATCTGATCTTAAGTCCCAAATGAGTGCTTGACGCCAAGACGGACTGGCAGATTGATTGTCGGTCGTAACAAAACTTTAAGCTTAACTTTAACTGTAGAAAGCATAGATTCGTAATCCATTCTTAAATCAGAAAGGAGTAGCCATATAAAGGAGAATCAAGGACTAATTCGTTCGTAAACCTGAACAAAGTCAGTAACAATAGAAGACAGACTAGGAGAGAAGACACTCGTAGTCCGGTCAGAATGGAGCGAGTCTTAGGCAGTAATTGATTGTGAACTGTTGTAATTTATTGTGATTAAGAGTGATTGTAAACAAAGTGTCAATAAATTCAATCATCCGATCCATAACCAGTTATTTTTAGTTACTGAGTCATAACCTCGTGACAACCTGTATACGAACAGAACATGCTTAGAACTTATGCAGACAGGATAACCAAAGCCACTTCACGCACTCATATTCAAAGAACTCTGTTCCATGGGATTAGTTGAGGTGTGGAGGTAATTGTAACAAAAGTTTCGAATATAACGGCAGAGACCTATAGTTGAAAAAATTGTACAGATGAAATTATAGAATTTATGTTCGTGAGAGATGAACATCTAACTGTTCTGATTTATGGACTGTGATCAGTTACAATGTGACCTGATCTTCCTTCATAATTTGCGTAATGGATGTACGTCACGTTTGCGCCAGACTCTCCAATTAACAACACGCGTGTTTCAAAGAGTTTACATTTGGAATGTCGTCTTTCCTGAAATTTCTGTGAAACACTGCCCCTACCATCCCCAGAAGAGCATATGGGTGATGTGAACTCTAAATACAGGATGTTTCACAATAAGTTCAAAATGTTCTTTTAAAATCTAATTCTTATCAAATTAATCTCCCGTAGAAATGGCTGCAATGTACACTTCGTACCGGTCAAGACTGAAGGACAATTAAAATAATATAAATAATAACACTTATATTTCTTATGCTGTTTTGTTTGGAATGTATGTGAATAAAAGTGGTGTACTTCCATACATATGCATTTACACATGATTTAATGGACTACCGCCTCTGTGGTTTAGTGGTCAAAGTTCCTGGCTACAGATCCAGAGGTTCCGGGTTTCGATTCCCGGCGCTACCATATTTTCTGAGAAGTAGTGTGTCTGAAACGGGACACACTCAGCCTCGTGAGGATAATTGAGGAGCTATTTCAAAGAAATAGTGGCTCCGGTCTAGAAAACCGAGATTAACGGCCGTGGGGATCTGTTGCGCTGACCACGTGACACCCTCTATCGGAAAAAGTTGTCACTAACTTCGCCGAGAAGTGGCGGTCGCTCGGTCGCTATAGTTCGCTTGCGGACTACAGGCCACGGATTTCTTATATTTTACAAGAGCATAAACAATTTGTGCGTTCGAAAAGTGGGAAATATTACGATGTCGATCTTGATTTTTGTATGACGGTGTATCATGTGCTTCTGTTGCAGAAGGTCTGCATAAGGAATTGAATCGGGTACACAAGTACAGTGAAAGGAAATGCAAATGAGACTGGAAAGACAGCTTTTGAAGGGGAAATTTTGAAGAAATAGGAGAAGTAGTATTTTCAGGGCAAGATGTAAATGTAGTGGAAGAAATTATTTAGAACTTTCATTCTATTCCTAAAGTACCATCTCATACAACATATTTTTAATGAATAAATTATTCAGAAGATTAGCGTTGTGTAGTCTGGTGAAACTCAACAGACGTTTCAGAGGAACATACAGCCTCAAATTTATAATAAACGATGAAAGAAACCAGCATGAAGCACGAAGAAATATTTTTGTCGCCTTCTTTACAATGGTTTATTTCTAGACTCACTTTTCGATCTTGAAGCTGGAGGTCATATGTTCTTCCGAAACGCCAGCCCATCTCAACCGGACTACACGGCGTTATATCCCGGAAGATACACCTCTTCATAGCCACCGCTGTGAGAATCTCAAATCCAAAAGTAGCTATTTATTCCCAACATATTTTTCGAAATTAAGCCGTATTCAAGACTGTGTAAACCAAATAATTGAAAGAAATCATTTTTTAAAAAATACTGGTTGAGGCACTGTGCTACAAGCCGGAAGGTCGCGGGTTCAAGTCCCGATGAGGTCATTGGATTTTTTTCAATTGACCAAATCCTTCCAGCCGCACTATGGCCGTGGGGTCGTCTCAGCCACTAACAGAAATGAGTACCAGGAATATTGTTGGAATATTCCTTGGGGTAAAGGGCGGCCTTGCCGCCATCTGTGAACCGATTGTCTAGAAAATGTGGGAACCTCTACATCTCACAACCCTATGGCCTTCACGTCCTGTTACAGGGATACCTTTACCTACTTACTTTACACTGCCAATCTTCTAAAATAAATTTTTAACCACAATCTTATGTCCATATTTAAAGCATTAAAATAGAGTACAAAGCTTATAAGTAAAACTAATACATTACAACAATTAGTTTTCACCGTAATCTGCATCTTCTTGATGTTGGTATTCTGGCAGTATAAGGCAAGGTAAAGTTGTCTAATTAAGCACTACGCCATGAAGGCATATGGGAGAGTGGACGTATAGATCACATTTTCTTGACCTCGGCTCTAGCTGGAGGTGAGTGGGCAGCTTCACGTCTCGGCCGCTTTACCCCCGGGGAAAGAGTCCCCGGTACCCATTGGATAGGAGGTTGGGTGAGCCCAAGAGCCGATCTGGACAATGGAGAAGAGAAAATCCTGACTCTACCGGGACTCGAACTCCTAGTCCTCGGTCTTCCAGCCGGTAGGCAGTCGCTATCCCGAGCGTACAATTATAATAATACTATAGCTTTGCGCATTAATTCATTCATGTTTTATATGATTGATTATGTAGTAATTTATTTTGCCATTCATTGGTAGTGTTCTTATTAAACATACCTTTTGAACTCTGTCCCGCATCACCGCCCCACAATAGGAGAAGTGTCCATGTTTTTAGACTGATTGATCGCTACTACTACTCTTCAAGTGCCGCGTACGTGTATATAACATCTGATACTCTTTACGCATGTGTATTTTCGGAAGAGGTTGGTGTATCAAGTTTAGTTACACATCAGACAGAGAAATTTGTCCCTCGGTTTCAGTTCGTCCCTTAATGATTCAATTTCTATATATGCAAATGTATAAATTCTCTTTTATATTCAAGATCCGAACTTTTCTTGCTAGAAGATATGAACTATAATAAAAAAAATAACTCCTCTAAAGTGTATGTTCAACTTGCACACTGTTATAGCATATCTTTAATGTTTTAGATGTAGGTATACGGCTGTGGTTTCAAACTTTATTTGATATTGTTAATGTAATTCTGAAAGAATAATCCTTTAAGTAATTTGGTTGGACATTCCTGAAGGTGACTTAAAACCGAAATATTTTGGGTGAATTAATCTTCTAGTGATTCAGTTACATGTTGTATTAAATGGCATTTTCTGAATAGAATGTTTAAAAATGAGACCGCAATAGTAACACCTGTAAAAACGTTTTGGAATTTTATTACAAAATTCATGAAAATGGGTCAAATAAAATTATAAAATGAGGAACTGATAACTATTGATAAATTATTATCCAGGAATAGCGGTAGAAATTAAAAGCCCTTTGAATATATATACCGAACATGGGACGAGTTTAGGATTTCTGGAGTTTAAATAGGGGTAATATTTCACGTCTTCCAGCCTCCCACCCAATGGGCATCGGGTGCTACTTCCCCCGGGGGTAAACAGGCAGGGACGTGAAGCTGACCACTCACGTAAATCTAGTGCAGATGTAAAGAACGTTAGAGCTATACCTCCACTGCAGTCACTACAATCACCGAACCGAACAGGAAATGAGCCTAAAACAAAAGGTCAGTGATTGTAAGCGAGGTACCCTGCGTGTAAAGTAAAGGAAAAAGAGTCTCCATTGTTGAAGGTATTAAGTACAGTCTTCAGTTTACATACAAACGCACTTCTAACCCCAGATACCACCACTAGTTCCGAAGGCACTCGATGAACTCTGAGCAGCTGATCCACTGAAACCTCCACCCAGACCTCCATATCCTCCTAATCCACCAAATCCACCGCCTCCAACAGGGCTTCCAAAAGCAGATCCAACAGGGCTTCCGAAAGCAGGTCCACCAAATCCACCAGGGTATCCGAGGCCACCATACCCTCCTCCCAAACTATATGTTGCAGTTTGGGCTCTTGAACCTCCCAATCCAAAACTTCCAACAAGACGTTTCGACCGAATAGCTGGAAAACCAAACACAACTGTTGAAAGAGCTTGAAATGAATAGTAAGCAGTTTACATTTCGGGACGTTTCAACAAAGCTACATGAGATGGATGTGCTCTGAAAAATGGAAGTAAGAAATATATGCACATATTGTTTTCGGATGTCTCATGCAAAGGGATCGCCTAGAAAACATAGACGCAAATAAAAGGATAATATTAGAATGGTAATACAAGTAGATCATGTTAAAGAAGTTAAAAAAGTATAACGAATTTTCATATTAATAAACCTTGGAATTTATTAGCTGAATAGCTTTCAATATCTTAAGGAAACTATGTACCATTGAGTTAGTAAGATAGTAAATCCACCAGTTATTGACATAGTTGCCCGGTTAACTGTATTTTAATACTGCTAATAAAGTAATATTTAAAATGTTTTTGATTAAGTAGAGAAAGGATAGCCATATGTCATCTTAACCTCAACACGAGATGTTGGAAAGTAGATGGGTTCAATCTGTAGCAGGTTTAGTCAGACACATATAAGAACAAATTGAATACAATTTCTTGCATCTTCTAAACAGAGCTTGTTCGCAGTGCAGTTATTCTTTGGACATGTGGCTCTGCCTTTTAAGTATATCAGACTGTACTTACTGTCTCTATTGTTGTCTTCAGCGATATAAACATCTATATTATACGGACGTAACCCAGCCTTCGCATCTTCTTCAATATCCAATGTGGGGTCACGAAACGCATGATAGGCTGCCTCACTTATGGGTGGCGGGATTACTGCAGGCAAAGAAACAGAGAAATATTGCAGCGTGGAGTAATTTTTATCCTGAGTCACGTAGGTCAACATGAGTAGGTGCAAAAATTATGACCCAGGGGCTGTAGGAGACGATTCAGAGCTTAAATATTCAGCTACAAACTAAAATGTTTATAACGGAATTAATCACAATTTTGTTTTCTTCTTGAAATTTTCAGATATCCTAGACAATTAAAATATGGCAATTAAAAAGTAAATATATAACCTGACTCACTGTTATTAGAACTCGAAGTTCCAATACAACCAGAACCAAACGTCATCAACAATCCTAAAATCTATCTCAATATTATCGCCTTTCTTGCTCAAAATGTGATTCTATTAATATTGTATACATTTATAATCTTCTCCGTTCTACATAATAGTTTTAAGTTTTCTATTCGTTATACAACATTTGATTTATAATTAATATAAACATATGTTAATGATATATTCTGTCTGACTAAATAATTGCATGATAGAAGATCTCATTAAAGTTTTATAATTTCAGATGGTCAAGAAATTCCTAGCTTCTCTCTACGTTATATGTTTTTTCTTAATTACATTTATGTTTGTGTCTAGTAAACTAATATTATCAACCAGAAGTTCATGTGTCCGTTCAGTTCAGTTCAGATTTTCTTCAACCTTAATAACTTCATGCTTTAAATCAACATTCAAATGAGCAGCTTTGAAAACAGAGGAATCCAATTACTTACTTGCTGCATTGACAGTTGCAAGCGTCACGAAACCCAGAACTAAACAGCTCTTCTTCATTTTCTGGAACCTTAAATCTGACTGTTATTAAGCTCTTGGAATGTTATGTATTTATAGGTATCATCAGGATGTTTACATCTGTCTGATAATGGCAGTGAGTCGTGTTGTCGCTTCAGTGAACCCCCGAGGATTGGCAATAGAAAGGAAACTTTCCCACTCCGGAACAGAGCCTAGATTTCTGACATCAAAAATGACTCACTGGTTTTTAGGTTACGTTTCCACGATGTAGAACTGAATGGACAGAATGATGGCTGTGGGTGGTGATGGGAAAGGTTTTGGAAGGAAGCGACTCTAGGCTGCATTAAGATACTCTCCCGGTATTTGTCTGAAGGACTTAAGAAAAGCATGAAAACCATTGCTCAAGCAGAGATTCCAAAGGCCATAAATATAGACCAGAGGTTCGATATTCCAGCTTCAGTCTCCTGTCCCGTTGGAGCCGTATTGCTAGAAACTTTCTTGGTTCGTTGGCCGTACCATAGCTCAGGCTGTTAATCGCCGGCTTCCTACTGCTGCAGCCCGGGTTCAGTCCCAGCTCAAGTCAAGTGATATTTGTGGCGAACAAAGTGACACTGGCGCATGTTTCCTCCAAGTATTTCGATTTTCTCTGCCAATTCTCATTCACCAAATACTCCATACTCACGTATTATGAAAGGTTGACACAATAAGCCAATTAGTGACCGACGTACAAAGTCAATCCAATCTCACCCCACCTCATTAAATGAAAAAAAAAATGTTGTTGGTTAGTTGAGATTTCAGGTTCTCAAGGCGGAAAACATTAAGATTGCTGTCTGAGATGAGATGCGTAAATTCGTAGATATGTACCGACGTTTCGAAAGAACTTTACGTCTCCACACTCTGTGTACTAACATTAAAACATTTCCCGCAGAATTTACAGATATGGTTTACGATCTATGTTGAGGCACTAATTTCGCTGACAAGCGCCGGTCGTTCGGTCGGTATAGTTCGCTTGCGGACTAAAACAACGGAGTTTGTTTGTTGTTTTTGTTGATATAAAATTTCATGTTCTTAACTCAAATGTTTTATTTGTTACCATCGTCAAACAAAAAGTAAACATACTGCTGCCATGTTGTTACATTGCAGCCTACAAACTATTAAGCAAGAAAAAAAAATGTTGCATATTTTTTTAAGAAGAGTTGCACGTACTTTAAGAATCCTGTAATATCAGTCTCACCATTGTCTCAGAATTTCGAAAGGTCTCCATTTTGTTGTTGATAGTAGGATTCTTTTCTTCAGATGTTAGCGCGATCATAGTGTAAATTTGCACCTTACTAAATACGAGAGGTGTTATAATTTTGTCTCTTGTTTTGTATGGGTGATGAGAATAAGCTTCTCCCTTGCTGGATGAGCACAGATGAAGGATATCTGAGCAGGATGTTGAGTGAAATATTTTGAAGAGAGTGCAACAAGGGAACGAATAAAAGTGGCCAATGAAACACATCATAATATACGCCCTTTATCGAGCATTAAAGGGCCAATAAGGTTGACCTAGCTATCCCATGTAGCCTGCCTTGGAGATGAAACTTTCTTACACAATTTTCGAAGGAGAACCGAAAATCAATATACACCTCTGAAAACTTAAGCGTATGAGACTATAATATTAAGACGAATCTCAAGATAGGTTTTCTCAAAACAGGGTATTGATCCTAAGATTCCAGGAAAATTCGATGGATTTCTTGGCAGTCTTGACGACAATTAACTTTTCGACAAGGAATAGAGTTAGTCGAAAGAGAAGTACGCTAAATATGCCCTTTATATTTGAGGAAATACGGTGGTCATTTAGTCTGGTCTGGGAAAGCAATTAAGTTGATGAAATCTGTGAGACTTGACATTGAGACATCAGTGTTACGTCTGAAAAACATAGCCATAACGACAGCTTTATCAGCTGCACACCGCAAGCAATTTGAGTGTCCTGTCGATTAGATACAGAGATACACAGTGTCATGTATACCCTAATCACAGTACCTATGGTAGCTGTCGAGTGTTGAAAGCACCCACATGACAGTAAACATCTCCTGCTCCCAACATGTGGCGCATCTTTCATGGTCTGATATGCCTGTCCGTCACGCTTGCTCTGGGTAAGACAAAATATTGAATTGGCTTAGTATTAATCTTATTTTCCCGAATGTAATGCATCTCTTCCCCAGTTATGACATGAAATTCAATGCTAAGTATAGAATTGCACATCAGCAGACACTGGATAAATTCTAACTGTAGTAAATAACTACTGACGTACTAAACAGTTCTAAGAATTGTTCATGTGTTGATCTGAAAGAAAGCGAGTATAAGGTCAGTCAGTTTTCGAGAGATATTTGGGAGAAAGTAGAGTGTACATTACATGCGTACAAACGCAGTACTTTTCCAGTCTAAATTATCTGTGTCATATTCAAGAAGTCTTCGTTTCGAGTTTACATTTCGTTCATAAAAAGCAGTGCTTTACTTAGAATTAAATGGGAACCACTTGTAAATTTAGAATGTTAATAAGTAAAATATTAGCCATGTAATTAAGACATGCGCCGGTCACGGTAGCCGAGCGGTCTAAGGCATGTACTGTCTTCGCTCGCTTGGAAACCGGGATCGTGGGTTCGAATCCCACTCAGGGCATGGATATTTAGTTTGTGTATGTGCGTTTTTCTGTGTTTGTCTACAAGTAGAGGCCTTGCGACGAACTGATTGCCCGCCCAAGGAGTCCTACCGAATGTGTAAGAACTAGAAAAACCGAAGTGAACGGAGAAGTTCATGGAGGTAGGCCTAGGCCCACTGGGGCTGTAGTGCCAAGGAAAAAAAATTAAGACATGCAGGCTCGGTTCTAATGTTAAAATCTCACAGAGGATATGATCTATTTATAGTTTTTCTGCATTTGATGGTTGTAGGATGTTTATATTTTGTTTATTCACTTATATAACGACACTTTGTAAACTGTATAAGTCCTGAACTTTGCAATGGAGGACTAATTAACTAACTACATTTACAGAATGTTTCCTTGTTTGGTTGGCTTACTGATCGCCATTGAAATATAGAAGTGTCGTTCCCATTAAACGTAGGTAAACTTATACCAAACTGCATGGCATCACATCCCAGAATATATATATATATATATATTTCTCATAGTCGCTGCCGTTAGAATCTGAAATCTAACAGAACATATCTGTGTTACAATTTCATGCGAAATGCTTGGTGCTATAGGACCTATATTTATGTGCGGAATAGTGTTTATACCTCTGAACCATGAAATTCGTCTAAATAAGGTACAATAATTCAGTTTACACTTCACAGGAAATATCCTGCTTTTCCATTACAAAAACCAATCGGTTTATTCTGTTTAGAGAAATAGTCCTTATCTACAAGAAACATATAGATAAAATCTATGGTCAGACTACAGAGTTTTGTAATTTTAAATCAAGTGGTACCAGTAACCAGTGCTATATGTAACACCGGTTTACATTCAAAAAGTTATACCTTTTCCTCACAGTCTGTATTAATGCCTTTTGTTTGACTCACTGAATAAATATGGATTTATCTAAACAGGTTTAACCAGTTGATCCTTTTAATGCAATTAAATGATCAAACTCTTCAAAAATCTATGGTAAGAAGGAAAAGTTGTCATTGTGACATCACGAATATTCCCATGTATTCTTAATCACGTCTGCATGTTCCTCTCTGTCACTATCGCCATAATAATATTATTTGTGGTAATGAACTCAGAGGTAATCTCAAATGTGTGTCGTTAAATTTACGACAGTGGAACGCATGTACAGCGATGCGATATAAGAAATCTCTATTAAAAAATGGTGTTCAGAACTGTTTCAGTTGTTTCACCAAACAGGCAGGCTACCAAAGTGTTAACGTGATTTGCATTCAGTAGATCCCAGGTTCAAAACTTAGCTGGGTTAACAGTTGTCCTAACTGAGAGTTTCCTCAGCCACTTCCGGCGAATACCACAATAATGCATTTAAATTAGCCTTGATCATTCTCCAGTTTATTGTTTCCAGTTCACTGAATATAATTATCATTTATACAACGACAAAATCCAGACAACTGGATATGAAGTATTCGCTCTTTTGTATTATGCGAATCTTCCCCCCTCCCAAAAAGACTAGATTTGACGACCACTCATAAAAACAACGGTTGACTAAACTGAACGTTATTGCGAAATCTTGAAAATCACGATTCCTTCACTTTGCCCCAGAATGAATCATAGCTGATATTTATTTTCATTCTAGACAATGCAACTTTTCAAACACATAAGGTAAAAAGGTAAAGTTGTTCCTGTGCTTAACTAATTAAGCACTATGCCATGAAGGCGTATGGGGGAGTGGATGTATAGATACACATTTTCTTGACCTCGGCATTAGCTGGAGGTGAGTGGTTACCTTCAAACCACGGCCGCTTTATCCCCGGGGGAAGAACCACCGGTATCTGCATGCTCATTGCTTTTACTCTGTAGACGAATATCTCAATGTAAATAGAGAATAATGTAGAATTAAGCTATATTAGTTTAAGATAAAATTAGTTGTACCAGTAGGTATTCTTTTGACTTGTTCCATATCCAAAGGTATTAACCTGCTTAGGGTTTATGGAATGCAAATAAATTCAAATTCAAATACCTACTGGATAGGAGGCTGGCTGGGCCCCAGAGCCAGTTTTGACGACGCGGAGAAGAAAAAATTCTTGATCGTACCGGGACTCGAACTTTAATCTCTTGTTCGTCCAGCCCGTAGCCAGACGCTATACCGACTGCGCTATTCCGCCCCATTTCAAACAGATACTCTTACAAATTCAGCTCACTTCGAGTATTTATTTGAATTTTGCAACCTAGTGTGATCAAGATCAATATGAGAAACAACTTTCTCTTTTACAGATTCTAATTCCGGAAGTGCCATTGAAGTTTCTGGAGGTTCCGGCAGCGGTTTGACAAGTGAATTGCAGGTTGAATCGCAGCTGAGAACCGGACTTGTGTCTGCCGCTGCTTCAGTAGTATCCACAGCAACCAGTGCCTCTGGAACCTCCGAGAAACTTACAGATTATTTTCTAGGAGGACTAACCGCAGGGGTGACTGATTTAGTAACAAGTGATCGAACTTCAACAACAAAATCTCGTTCCTTCAGTGGTAAAACAGGATCTTCTACTGTAATATTTGGAGAGTCAGAATCCGGTTCAGAAACTGAAATTTCAGGGCCTTCAAAATTATCAGATCAGACAAACACAAGAATTTATAGACACTTTGGTGGTACCGGATTGGCAGCATCCTCAACGTCATCTGCTCAGTCAAGTACAGGATCTTCTAGGCCCAATGTTAACTACAGAAATTACGGGGGCGTGGGAAGACCAGGATACTTCGACCAGTATACTTTAGGACAAATATTGGCTGAATATGAAGGTCAAAGTGGTATAGGATGGTTGGCAAGTTCGGGATCTTCTGCTCAGGCAAATTCAGGATCTCTTGGTGGTATCTATGGAGGTAATGGAGGCGTGGGATTAGCGACAGTTCCAGGATCTTCTGCCCAATCAACTTCTGGATCTGTTGGTAGTAGCTACGGTGATATTGGTGGTGTAGGATCAGTGATTGGTTCGGGAGTTTCTGCTCAATCAACATCAGGATCTTCTGGTAGTAGCTATGGAGGTTTAGGTGTTGTAGGATCAGTGGTAAGTTCAGGATCTTCTTCTCAGTTTACATCAGGAACTGCTGGAATTGGCTATGGCGGTGATGCAGGATCAGTGGTAGGTTTGGGAATTTCTGCTCAGTCAGCATCAGGATCTGCTGGTAGTAGCTATGGCAGTTTAGGCGGTGTAGGATCGGTGGTAGGTTTGGGAGTTTCTGCTCAGTCAACATCGGGGTTTGTTAGCAGTGGATATGACGGTTTGGGCGGTTTGGTCGGTTTGGGTGGCGTGGGATCAATGACAGGTTCCGGATCTTCTGCTCAATTAACTTCAGGATTTGTTGGAAGTGGCTATGGAGGTTTTGGTGGCACAGGATCTGTGACAGGTTCAGGTTCTTCTGTGCAGTCAACTTCAGCATCTGTTGGTAGTGGATACGGAGGTGCTGAAGGAATAGAATCGGCGACATTTTTAGGATCTTCTGCTCAGTCAACTTCTGGATCTGTTAGTACTAGCTACGGGGGTATTGGTGGTGTAGGATCGGTGACAGGTTCAGGATCTTCTGTGCAGTTAACTTCCGCATCTGTTGGTAGTGGATACGGAGGTGTTGGCGGCATAGGATCGGTGACAGGTTCAGGATCCTCTGTGCAGTCAACTTCCGCAACTGTTGGCAGTGGATACGGAGGTGTTGGAGAAATAGGATCGGTGACAGGTTCAGGATCCTCTGTGCAGTCAACTTCCGCAACTGTTGGCAGTGGATACGGAGGTGTTGGAGAAATAGGATCGGTGACAGGTTCAGGATCCTCTGTGCAGTCAACTTCCGCAACTGTTGGCAGTGGATACGGAGGTGTTGGAGAAATAGGATCGGTGACAGGTTCAGGATCCTCTGTGCAGTCAACTTCCGCAACTGTTGGCAGTGGATACGGAGGTGTTGGAGAAATAGGATCGGTGACAGGTTCAGGATCCTCTGTGCAGTCAACTTCCGCAACTGTTGGCAGTGGATACGGAGGTGTTGGAGAAATAGGATCGGTGACAGGTTCAGGATCCTCTGTGCAGTCAACTTCCGCAACTGTTGGCAGTGGATACGGAGGTGTTGGAGAAATAGGATCGGTGACAGGTTCAGGATCCTCTGTGCAGTCAACTTCCGCAACTGTTGGCAGTGGATACGGAGGTGTTGGAGAAATAGGATCGGTGACAGGTTCAGGATCCTCTGTGCAGTCAACTTCCGCAACTGTTGGCAGTGGATACGGAGGTGTTGGAGGAATAGGATCGCTGACAGGTTCAGGATCTTCTGCTCAGTTAACTTCAGGATTTGTTGGAAGTGGCTATGGAGGTTTTGGCGGCATAGGATCGGTGACAGGTTCAGGTTCTTCTGTGCAGTCAACTTCCGCATCTGTAGGTAGTGGATACGAAGGTATTGGTGTTGTAGGACCGGTGACAGGTTCAGTATCTTCTGTGCAGTCAACTTCCGCATCTGTTGGTAGTGGATATGGAGGTGTTGGTGGCATAGAATCTGTGATAGGTTTAGGACCTCCTGTGCAGTCAACTTCCGCATCTCTTGGTAGTGGATACGGGGGTATTGGTGGTGTAGGATCGGTGACAGGTTCAAGATCTTCTATGCGGTCAACTTCCGCAACTGTTGGTAGTGGATACGGAGGTGTTGGCGGCATAGGATCGGTGACAGGTTCAGAATCTTCTATGCAATCGACTGGAGGATCTGTTGATAGTAGCTTTGGAGGTTTCGGTGGTGTAGGATCTGTTTAGAATTCGTGACAGGATCTGAATCTTCAGCCTTTATTCTTGCTAAATAACTTTTTGAATCGAAATTCATACTCAGGCTACTCGGTTCTTGTGCTCTATTTACGATTTAACCGTAGAAATATGCAAGCGCAGCTGTTCTTTTATACTCTGAATGTATTTACTTAACACTGCCGTTAATTTTGGAAATGCAAACAAATTTTCTCTCTTCAAGCAGTAGTAATTCTGATTTTATAAGGGAATATAAAAGACAGGTTGCGGGTTCGATTCCCCACGATGTCATTGAATTTTTTCAATTTACCTAATCCTATGAGCCGATTGTCTGGAAAATGTGGGAGCCTCGACGTCTCACAACCCTATGGGGCTTCACTGCCTGTTACAGGGATAGCTTTACTTTTTCTTTTTACTTACCTAATACTTCCAGCCGCAGTATGGCCCTGGGGTCGACTCAGTCTCTAACAGAAATGAGTACCAGGAATCTTCCTGAGGGATAAAGGGCTGCCGGCGTGTAAGGCTAACGACTTGACCGACATCTGTGAACCGACTCTCTAGAAAATGTGGGAGCCTCGACATCTCACAACCCTATGTGCCTTGACGGTCTGTTACAGGAACAACTTCACTTTTTTTATCTTAACGGCAAACCGGAGTAGCACGCACGGCATGAAAACAAAAGACAAAAGAAGAAAATTGTACGAATATACATGTTACTGCTCTTGGGTGTCCAAGTTATTCCTTCACCCTATCTACTGACGAAAATTTCATACTAATTAAGGTGACTTAAAGTAAGAAGTTAAATTATGGTGATGTTAATTTTAAATAATCTCTCATGTAACATACAAAAGCTTTATATAAAATATGATAAATTTCGATTCCCATTTTTAAAATTTGAAGAAGTTAAATTATGGTGTTGTTAATTTAAAATAATCTCTCGTCTAACATACAAAAGCTTCATATAAAATATGATAAATTTCGATTCCCATTTTTTAAATTTTAAGACCTAATATTTTAATATTGGTATATAAAATACAAGAAAAACGTAAGCAGTAGTATAACAATTACTTTTGTATAATATTCATTAACGTATGCACGTCTACTTTTTCTCTAAAAATTAGCGGGTTAAGCCAAGATTAGAAGCCGGGACGTCATGCACCCAAAGCAGGAATCATAGCCCTAGACTACTGAGCCTACATGTCATAAACAACTTCAGGAATATTATACAACTGACACTACTATTTAATATGCCCGATTTACAAATTATATATGTTATTAACATTAACATAATAAATTAACACAGCAAGAACACCTGTTTATATAATTACATTAGAATTGCATATCTTAATAAATGACCGTATGCTATGTTGGATTTGAGGTTCTCACAACGGCGAATGACGAGTTCTGATTTCTGTAATCTAATAAGTAAATATCACCGAAGTTTCGGAGAAACATACCGCCTCCACGTTCAGGCCCAGGCCTCTCCTCACGCGGTTTTCTCTGCGTGCTGCCTGTTTCATGTTGGTTTCTTGCTTGACTTACTCTTCTACTAAGAAGATGGAGGCTTATGTTCCTCTGGAAGGTCGGTACTTTCACTAGAGTAGTGTTCCGCAACCGGTGTGCCGTCACAAGGTGAAAGGTGTGACGCGAACTTCTACTTGTTGTAAGAAATTAATTGTCGAATTTTATTCGTTTTATTTTATCCCAGTTACCGTGTTTCATATGCTTGTATTTTATTATCAGCCACTGCACTGATCAAATAAAATGATGCTTGTTTATTCTTTATTATATGCCGTAATTTTTTATGTACATTAATGTTGTATTCTAAGAAATTAAATGTAAATTTTTACTCACAGTTGTTGTTATATCATAGTTTTTATTATTGATTTTTTTTATTTTTCTCGCATCTGTAGGGTTTCTTTGATATACTTGCCGCATGTTCTGTGTACGTGCTTTTCCCTAAAACTGCAGGGATTAGCAAGGGTTGCCCTGTCTTTTATAACGCTGTTTTGGTGTTTGCCCCTGTTTATTAGAAGTTAGAGCTTCTTCAACTTTATGACTTTCTGCCTATAACGATGCACCCACCGATTGTTGGACTTCATTTAAATTATAAATATTTCAAAAATTAGTAGGTATATGTGTCACTTCTTCCGTTTGAAGAATAGAGGTCCCGCTTTTTACAATTGTTTCAG